TGTTAAAAGGAGTTCAGGAATTTCAACAATCCTTTATGTTAAAAATTCATCGTTTACTCACTAGAGAAGAATTTCTGGAGGTTAATTCCTGATTCCTAATGTAAAATCGTGACCGATGTAATTTAATCATGCTGGGTTTGAGATAAATATGATGATTCTGTTATATCTTGAATCTAGTGAAGTTATACATGTAAACCATTGAATGTCAGCTTAGAAGTCTCAAATTTAAATACCTTGTGCTGAGAATTCTATATTGTACCAAAATATAATATTGAATAAAGCCACTAATAATAATAATAAACTCTCAATTCGATGCTTGAAATTCCTGATTTCAACCCTGAATAGGGTTGTGGCTGCTCACTACTGAGGAGTCACATACTAAAACGAAACGTTTCTTCAGTGCTTCCTCAAAGACACAGGGAAATTCATTCGCTGAAAATCTCTTCAATTAACTTAAAGTATTTTAAATATTTGATAATAAATTATAAAGTATGCTAGACTTTACGTTATTCCACGTAAGATACATTGAGATACAGGATAAAATCTTCATTGTTGACTATTGCAATAATCTATAGTATGACATATCAGTCATACAGATAGTATTATCATGGAGAAATAAATATCTTTTTAATATCATGGATTTCGATAAGCATTAAAATATAAGAGAATATGTAGGTAATTTTTTTCATTCTTTCTAAGAGATTTACAGTAATTTAGCTCATACTAGTAGGAGAATCTTTGATACTGTATGGTTTGAAAACAGTTAAAAGGAAACGTAGGTGTAGGCTATATAACAAGGTTTCCTGAATAAGAATTGCCGTGGAAAAAGGTAGGAAACTGATAGAACCTATGTTGCTCGATAATTTAAAAGATTATCCATCCATTGGATGTACATATTATTAAAGTTGTTGATATTTCTACCATTTTCGAATAAATACAAATATCTAATTTTACTATTAAGGAGCTATTATTCTGGATTAATTTTAATTCTTTTTTGTTATGTGTGAAACTAATTAGTTGCTAAAAGTGTTTTTAATCACTATGATATATTGAAACTACACCGGTAAGTTGATTTTACAAACTTGATCATTTTCATCGTAAGCTGATGAGGCTACTTCTAATTAAATCAGTAGTCAGTCATCATTGACTTAATATCATGTTTAGTTGCACGTGTTTATTTACTGAAAATTTTCAATCGGTGTTCTGAAATACATTACATTTAATGTATGTACCTCTAAAATTATCACACAGTCTGTCTTATCTGTCTCTGAACCTTACATAACTAACTCATCACCTGCTTTTTGAATTCCAACACCAAATGACCTCCAACCTGTTATTGATAACCTTTGTCATCCCAATTCTTTTCATTCATCTATGTTCATTGTTTTACATTATATCTTGTCTCAATGTAAACTTTCAATACATAACTGGTTGTGAGCAGCTGATGAGAAACCACAAAATATAATGAATTCATATTATTCTACATCCATGTTTGTTATGGTTTTATTTAAACTTATGGTTTAATTGTGATTATATTGTAATTCCTTATTTATGTTGGTGCACGGTCAAAAATTAATTTATATTATTACACAAGTCTGTTTAGTGAATTAAATTGTACAATAGAATTTTATTTGCCTGCTGTATTGTTGTTCTGGTATAGTTGTTCAGGTAAGCAAGAGAAACTCCGTCCCGGACAAATAAGTGTTAATTATTGATCTTATTTCTTTGTTATTTGAGTCATCGGTTTAAGAAAGGGGGTTAGTCCTATGCAGGTGATCTCGGCGAATTAATCACTAGTCTCATTAGATACGTCAATCGCTCCCATAAAAACTGCCTTATCATACGAGAGTAGAGCAGTCACTGTCAATGGTATTGCATGTCGTCTCAATGTATCGCAAACTGATTGAAATTGGAGTGGTATCATTGAACACCAACCCAGTGGCCTTAATTGTTAATAGTTTACTGCGAGACCAACTGGTCCTGGATTCGACCCTTAGTAGGGTCATGTGCGAATATTGCTGAGAAGTTTTATATTAGGCGGAAACAGCTACCCAGTATTCCCTGGTTTTTAATAGCATCCCAACTGAAATCAATCTGTAACCAATACAACATACAAATTAAACCAATCTCTGCAAAATCCCCTGTGTTTAGATCGTAATCAGGGTTCATTAAATATCTAGTAAACACATGTCTCTGGATGTGAAATCTAATCTTTGATCGTATCATATCAACTCGTGCATAAGGTGTTCATCAAAAACGATAACTATAACCAGCTATAGTTCATGTTGTCCTTGAATGTAGTAGTGTTTTTTATTCATTTCTCGGTGGTTGTTAGAGGCGATTGAAAGAAATAACTAATGATATTAAACACATTTCAAAATACAACCAACAGGCAAGTTGCAGTTATAGATTGTATTACATAAAAAGAAACTTTTTGTCAAAACATAGATAAATATAATAATGACTAAAGGTCATTAGGTACTGAGAGAACTTAAATAACATATCAATGTGTAGTGACCACACCCAAAGTATATGACCACTATTATTTTGATTACAAGACAGAATAGTGAACATTTAGTCCAATAATATAAAAAAATGTGTTCTCCTTCAGTATTATACAATATCCCCTCCGCTGAACATAAAATAGATTTTCAATATTAGTTTAATGAAATAATACTTTTTTGGAAGTTATGAAATAAAATGTCCCCTTCTTATGAGTGATGTCACAAAAAATATGCATTTAGAATATGGCTGAAATGATCGGCAGCTGGTTTGTTCTCTGCTACATTAGGTTACTGCTGATGGTCTCTTGTCAGTGGATCTGGAATATCTAGTAAAGGTATCTGCTTATAAATAGCTTTCCAAGTTTCAGCTTCGGACAACACATCTGTCTTAATGTTTGTATCAGAATTTGACTTGGGTCGTGGATGACAGTTGTTTAGAGTTCAAAATATTATTCACTCGTAGAAATGATGCTCATGCTTTGCCAACTTGTTCCTTGAAATATTCACCGAATTCGCCTCAACTATTGATCATGCCACCCAGGTATACAAGAGCTTCCATTTCTTCCAGAGCTTCATGATCAATTGAGATTTGGTTAATGCTCATTATGTTGTATTTCAGGATCTTGCTTTTTCCACGTGTGAATGTTAAGACATTTCAGGAGGGAACCAGTTCACAATGGCTGACTTTGTCTGCATTTGTTGCTGTTCGTGCGATGTAAACGTTGAGTCATCAGTGAAGTCTAAATCACTCATCTGTGTTTGAGGTGTCCACTGAGATTTGGAGGTCTTCATAATCTACTCAGCGGTCAGGAGAAAGAGAGAAGACATCTTTATCCGACACCAGTCATCACATGGAACACATCTGTGAACTGGTCTGTATGGACAAATTTGAGACCCAGTTCCTTGGAAGAGTTTCATATGGTGGTATCAATCTTCCCAGGCAATCCATGGTGTCACAGAAGATTCCACGTGGTTTCCTTATCCACGCTGTCAAATACTTCCGCATAACTAAGGAAGTTGATGCATAGTGTTGAATTCCATCCGACTAATTGTGCAATAATGATCTGGGGTGTCTCGATTTACTCATTCCATGATCGGTCCTTACGAAATCCAGCCCGTCGATCGCAAAGTTAGTAGTCTTCTGAATCTTTGGTTCAGTTCAATAACACTGTGTTGAAACGTTTTGCTGGTTGTGGCAGTTGTATTATGTACTTGTTGTTCTCACATTTACTAAGATCTCCCTTCTTTTTTGTCTTGATAAAATATCCTTCTTTCCAGTTTGTTGATACCTGTTATTCCTCTAAAGCCTTTCTGACCAGAGTGTGTAACATCTTTGTAATTGTCTCTGTATCTGACTTTATTGTTTCGTGTCTTTCGGTGTTTGGTCCTGTTGCTTTTCAATCCCCCATTTTTCTGATGATCTTGCTGATTTTTCTTTTTATTGATATGGTGGGGAGGTCTGTATATTTTGCCTCGATACTCGGTGGGTGTGATGTACGCAGGAGCTCTTCAAAGAGCTCTAACCACCTGTTCTTCCATTCTTGGATCTCAGCGATTGGTTTAGATTTCTTGTTTGTTACTGGATTCCACCTATTCCGAGCATGGTTACGTTGTATCTTCTCACTTCCAGTGCTATTCGAACGATCCCATTTGTCTCCCAAATTTTCCGGACATTCCATATCCCTATGTTTGTTGTTGCCCTGGTTATCAGAAGAAGTATCGGCCTTGTGATTGTCAAAGTTTCTCAACTTTCACTATTATGAACCATAACTCTTCTATATGAAGACCCTGCAATTCCCAGAGTGATGTTTGACTGGTCTTTCTGGTTTGCAATTTTATGGAAAGATTTTTTCTACACCCAACTGCCTTGTTCTACGCAGGATTGGGACTGATAGTACTTTCAAAGGAGTTCCAGGAGAAGTTAATCCACTTTTTTAGAGTTCGTTAGATCTAAATAAATAATATATTTGTAACATTCTAATGAGTAGAAATATGAGATTTTTTGAGGTTTCGTGACTTAGTGTAAGCCACTTCTGCAGAGAATAAATAACCAAAATAATTTGAATTTGGTGGCTTACACTAAGTCACGAAACGTCAGAAAATCTGATTTTTCTACTCATTGGGATATTACAAATATTATTGTTTTTATTTATAACAATCTACCTAATGCTCAATTTATTCGAAATTATCAAATCAAACCTTGGTAATGACACCTACTTAGTTAGATCTGTTTAACTCGATTTTCAGGCATGCAATAATAACTAATTGCAAACCTTTAAAAATATCATCCGGCTGCCTACATAAGAATACAGGTAAATCTTCTGAACCTGTAATTATGTCGTTAAAATCTGCTAATCCACCTCTTTATATTTAGTAAGAGAATCAATATAAAACAATTCTCCATATTGAATCAGATTATTTTTACCAATTTTCCTTCAAATTTATCTCTGTTTGATTCATCATGACATTTGTTTCTTCTTTTTCTTACTTTTAAAGATTATATGACATTAAGCAATATCATTACTTCGTGTTCGCTTCACTACTGAACTCTAATCGTCTTCTTACCATCAAATATATTTCGAAATTCCCTATACTTATTAAATAAACAATCATTTGTTTGATTTACAATCGTGGAGGTCACAACTGTTCAGCAAACAGAAAACGGGTCAGTTGACCATAAGAAAGTGGTATATAAATTAGGCGATCAACCCCCACCTTTGGCTACTGAAGAAGTAGAACAAATAATTACCAGTCAAGGTTGTGACAAAAGTGATATCGTGTTAGTAGAGTCAGGTGAGTTCCTTGAGGAAGATCACGCCGATCGCTCTTCGAATGAACAAGAATTTGAGTTGGATCAAGTTACTTGTAAACAACAATTGAATATAGCTGTTAACGAAGAAACCTTAGTATTCGACAACGACCTTCCATCACCTCCGATTTCAGTTTATGAAGAGTTACATAAAGAAGATACTGGAGAATTACCAGAATTTCCTTTGACACCTTCAGTAATTCAAGAAAATTGTATCAAATCCGAATTATTGTCAAATCACCAACCAGAAGCGATACCTGAATATTGTACAGATATTAAAATTGGACAAATTGTAGGTGAAACTCTAGATAAAATAAGTGATAATTACTTAGTTGAACAAATTAGTTTTTCTTCAGATTCCATTCCATCTACAAAGAACTTTACAGAGGAAGACGCTAAAAATTCACTACAAGAGCCTACTGGAGAAAAATTGAATAGTCAGTCCGTTGACTACTTAGAAAAAAATATTGATATAGAGGTTCGAGTCGATGAACAGAACGATCTCATTGGTATTTGCGAACTGAAAGGCAAAACAAACACTGAAGAAGAATCAACAAAATTACTTGACTTTGAAGAAGAATCAATCAGCTTATTGAATCCTGAAAACGAAGCAACCCAATCATCTTACGTAGAGAAAGAATTTCCTGAATTATTTACCAGTGAGAAACAAGTTAATAAATCGTCTGATCTTGACGAAGAAATAACTAATCCGGTTTATATTGAGAAAGCAACAAACGTTCCTGGTAAATCAGAAAATCCTCAAACTTTTCTGCCATACAGAAATAAATCATCTGTTGAGATCTCGAATTCCTTAACGTCTACTGAATTTTGTTCAGAAGGCGAAGTAGTAGTAGTGGACGAGCACAGTAGAAATAGTAGTTCTACAATTGGCGCTGAACTACCAGACGAAACACATTCTAGCGCTTTGTTCGTAAAGTCTGTAACATCATCAGTACTAATCGATTCTCCAAATCACTTGACAGATACTAATTATCGAAATTCATTTGCATCTAGTGAAGTTGTACCATCGAAACATACTTTATCAATTGATTCTCTAAGTGAATCTGTGAATAATACTACAAATACTAGTAACAATAACGATAATTTAAAAGAATTAACACTAAACACTTTAAATTGTGATACATCAATGAGTACTACAGTTGGTGTATCTGATATTACGGCTGATCAATCGGAAACCAATCGGGAATCATACATTTCATATCCATCGTATGACACTGACAATACGCCAGCTCAAAGTTCTTTTGGACATTTAAATCATCTGAATCATGGTGAATATCAAAACAGATTAAATGGTGAAGATGAATATTTACCAGGTGATATTAAAGATAATATTAATGGAAATAATAATAGTAATGAAGATATTCCCATGAACGATGATCGATCAGAGTATACTAATATGAAAACAGAAGAAAGTTATCATGATTCTACATGTCCATCGCATTCAGAACAAGAATTGGATCAAGACATTTTAAAAAATGAACATGGAAAAAATGAACTGGTCGCTGAACAAAATATGGAATGTTTAAATATTCAAAATGTTGAAAATCAACAAAAATTGTCTTTTAATCAAATCAAAGAAGATTTGGAGAAAAAGAAGTGAGTCATAGTGTCGTCTCGTTTTTAATTATTCCTAAATGAATTCGTCTTTTCACAAGGTTGTTCCCAAGGTCAAGTTAGCGATAGAAGTAAAGTATATGGATGATTTTAAGTGATCTACAAAGCAATCAGAAAAGAATATTCGATTATAAAATGATTCTTAGTAAAAAATGACAAAATAATTGCAATAGATATGCAGATTTGACATGAATGATGAACCTTCAAACGTAATTTATTCCGGTTTTTATCCTGAAGTGACATATTTTGTAACCATATGAATGGATGAATCTCGCTCCGAAACTCAGGAGACGCTGACTGAAATCTGATTGGTTTGTCCATATACTTTACTTCTGTTAAGTTGATTACTGTAAGATTGTTTTCATTGTGTAGTAGCATACGAAAAAGAAAAATTTTAGGTTACTTTTTTCACTCATTTCATTGACGTTTAGGCTGAAAAATTTACACATTGTTTACAATTTTGTAATTAAGTTTTTCTTTACATTAAAGTTTCGTCTGTGATAAGACTCAACAGCATGGAGCTACTGTATTGAGTTTCTTATATATATTTTAGAAGTAGAATGACTATATCTATTACAGGCGCATATTTATCACAATACTAACCGAAGTTGATCGGTTGATTTCAAATGATAAACTCATTCTGTTGAGATTTACAAGTATAAAGCAAATGCTAAAACATTAACACTCAGTAATTGCCAATTATAAAGTTGATTTATATTTTATTCATTACATCACATTATCCTTCTCTGTAAGTTGGTAGTTTTACTGGAAAATTTTCAGAATAGTATCTACAATGCAGCTTCTTAATAGACTGAAACAACCACATTTTTTATTGATTAAGATCATGGTTGCTTAGAACTAATGATTTAGCTCAACTTCAGCTTAGTTGATTGATATTTTACGCGCGAATGTGAACCAATTTTGATCGGACAATGTTTTTGACAATTATTTTCCATAAATGTGGTGAAAATTGATTACTCAGAATACATTTACTGTTTCAGTATTGGTTATTTTGTTTGAATGAACAGCTGAACGTTACTGTGATTTGATTGACTGACATCATTTGAAAGTTATTGTTTTCTGAGAGGTTAATTTGGACGTTTTCACCCGGAAAGAGATTTTCTTGGGTTGATTAAAGCATCTTTAAAAGTGGGATAAATGAATAAAATAACCTCACTCTAATTAATTTTTGAGCTTCATATGAGCTGTATAAATGATCTACATTACGCTAAATTCATAGAAACTATATATTCATTCTTGCTGTACATAACAATTTATAAACATTTAATTTAAATCTCAGGTTTAACAAATTCTCTAGCTGTTTCATAGTTGGTGCATTTAATAATTGCGAAGTTGATGTAGCTGAATTCCAACCAGGGAACACTGAACAGTTGTTTCTTCTTAGTATGTGACTCTGACAAGGCTTGAGTCCAGGGTCTTAAAATTTCGTGGCCATTACTTAACCTTTGGTCTCATACTAGACAGAACAACTGTCCAGTACTCCCTGATTTTTGATAGTATATAACTTAAGTCACACCAGGTTGAGCACCACGTTCAAATTAAATGTGTCTCCACTAATCTGTACATCGAAACCACGATCATTATCTCACAAGTAAATTACATGGAAATAATTCACTGAACTTCTGGTCAGAAGTGGTCGCCACTTGAGTCCAGGTATTTTGAGAGTTGAACAGTCACCAACCTCAGTTCCATATTACGAATTGTTTGAAAATGGAAATGTGTGCCATTGGATACCAACTTAATGATCTAGAAGTTAAAGTTTCAATGACGGATCTGAAGCTCTCGGGTTTAATTAACGGTAGAAAAGTGAATACACACTCCTGGGGATTCTAATTCAAGCACAAAATATCCGTTAAGTGCTCTCCGTTTCCCACTGGGACTCGAACTGAAGACAATTTATGATGAATACTAACTAACCTCCAAAAAGCCTCTACATAGAAACTATGGTACTATTTTAGCAGTTATTTTCTCGTCAAATTTTTTACCCCGTTTATTATGACCAACATTTTACAATAGATTCCATAAAATAAGAGTTATTTTTTTGGCATTTTCCACACTAAAATACTGAGAGAAACTTTTACTCGTGTATATAACGTCTTTTAATACAATCTTCAAAACCAAGTGATCTGAGAATACTCTTCTTTACTCCTTCTTTTATTAAAGTAAAAATTAATTCATTTTTGTATTTTTTGTTTGAATTGTCCCATTGATGTCTAGAACTCAACTGATTAGTCTCTTATATGTGCTTCCTGTTCGGATCGCCTCGATGTTTCGTTAAGTAAAAAGCACTATGGATACCCTATTGCACAAGTTAGTGACTATCTGGACTCAGTAGCTAAGTGGATATCGCGATGGCGTATGAAGTGGACGGCACTGGGTTCGAGTCCCGAAATGAACATCAACTCTGGAATGCAGGTATACTTAGCTGACGAGTCCCAAGTGGAACGAAACGCGCCACCATCCATCTCTGCTTTAAAAACTAATTGTTGAAGAGATAACCATTTATCACTTTAAAGGATCAATATCAATAAATGGTCCACTCTGGGATAAACGAAACAGTGCTCACATAACGACTATAAGTGATATGTATATACCTTTACACATTCTCAGTATATTACATATTCATAGTCATTCTTCTGAATCGAAAAGATAATGATTTTTTGATAATTAGATAATTAACAATGTCTTATATTTAGATGGAAATCTTGTCTTTGCATACTATATACATACTGACGAAATCGCTATTACTTACTTACTTGAGTAAGTACTGTCATTAATTTTATTATTGATCAACTGACTGACATGGTTTCGTTATGAACCGTCATCAACAATAATATTTAGTAAACACAGTGGAAAGTAATTAATAATTTATTTAATCTATGTTGTTGGGATTTAACAGAAAACAACTCTCTGAAAATGTGTAAAATGGCCTTAAGGTTTCATAGTGAGTAGATTAATTTGATTTAGCTGGGTCGGAAAGCAACCAATAGTGAATGCTTTTCAAATTATTCATTTTTATTACAATGAGTTTAACTGATTGTAAAAATTATAGTTATTAGGTTCAATTAATTCGTTTGTAAAATGGATTAATCTGGAAACAGCTTTCTATGGAAATTGAGTAGGTTCGATTCATATGATGTTTAGTGTACCTATGTGTCTTTTGAACATGTACAAACTAGTTGTTCAGCTGATTGATTATGAAAACCATTTACATTCTGGGTTAAGTTTCATTAAGGATAACAAAGGATTAAGAAAAGGCATTGAACCTAAATTAGAAATTCTCATCATCTACGGGTTTCACGGTTTACATCTTTAGTTTCAGTGAATTCTTGAACTTTGTTTGTCACAACTTCTCTCTAGAATTTTGTAATTTTTTTTAAAAGTTAGTGTTACTCATTTCACTGCTTAATCAGTTTGAATTAGTCTATGATGCACACTATAACAAATCCTAATGTTATAAGCATAGATGGATGGTGGCTAGCAGTGGAATCCAGAACGTGCGTTTCGCCCCATTTAGGACTCGTCAGCTAGATGTACCTTCATCCTAGAGTTGATGTTCAATACGAAACTCGAACCCGTTGCCGTCCCAAATAGGATGAAATGCGCGTTTTGGATACCTCTACTAACCACCATTCATCTTTGCATATAATGCTTGTGATTTAAGATAATATCGAGGCAATCCGAACAGGAAGCCCATATGTCAATAAGAGGCTGATCAGTTGCAGTTCTAGATATCAATGGGAAGATTCAAACAACCAATACAAAATGAATTAAATTCTAATGTTTTTTTTTGTTTTTTTTTTGCGGTTGTTTTAGACTGATAGTTAAAAAGTCATTATTCTCAAATCTGTTTTTCTGCTTAATTCCAAATAACCAAGTTAAAGAGTGAAAATATGTTGTTTGTTTATTTGAATATAGACTGATGATAACGACATCACTCATCTCATTTGATGATGACAGTTTTCTCTATCAGTAAAACAGTTCATCAAGAAAATAATAAGTTAAAGATTTAGATTGATAAATAATAACTCAACAATCGGAAATTCAAGGTCTTTATTTATTTGCACCTATTACATGGGTAAATGTCCATTCAGAGAATTTAATCATAAATATCAACATATGAAGCAACCATTGTTTTGGAGAGCATTGAATGGGACTCTCGACTGCTCTTTGTACACATAACATTTAGTTATTGTAGTAATAACATTACTCCCGATTACTGAATACGCTGTTCTGTGAGACATCCGATACTGATAAACAAGTCCTTTATCTACAACCTCAACTGACTATCTGAGTGAGGAACATTTTATAGGCCGACCTAATCAAGAAATTATATATATATATATATATATATATATATATATATATATATAATACGATAAAAGCTTAAGCCACATTTTTCCATCAGTGTAGTGTCTCATTCCTTAGAAAAAAGGCTGCATGTTGGACAGTTGAGTGGACTGATCATTTGTCTGATGACTGATAGGCTCACTGGTGGATAGTCCAATGCTATATATTTTCAAATAGGATTAACTTCATTACAATTACTCAATATTAGTCATGTAGAAGGTAGAACCAAAACACTTATAGTGAGATAAGATGATAGTTGGAATTAGTTAACAGGAAACCTAGTGCACGCAATGACATGTCACCTAGACTAGTGGCCACATTGAAACTTGGTCGATAGCATTCGATCTACACTAAGAAGGACCTGACACACGTGACATTGATCACCACTCAGTGATCAGTCAATTGTGATTTATCAAATGTTTGCAGATGTTTCCGCTTGGGTTTTGTCCTCATCCCACACATAGAGCGGAAGTCACAGGGATTTAAGCCATTTATTCTATTTTCCTGTTCCTCACTTGGTCAGAGAAGACTTAATAGATGGTGTTATTAATTCTTTTTATCCACTAATTGTTTCTTTTGTTTTCTTTACTATCTACGTACTTTGAAGAACTATCCAAACATTTCCTATTACTGAGCTTCATATGACTAGTTTGATGAGTTTATTCTTTCAAGCTTTGGTCTACTTCTCGTGTCAATATACTTGTTACCGTTATCATACTGTTTGTTATTCTTATCACTACCAATCCACTTGTCATTTCAATATCAATTTGTATTTTTACCTGTCAGGAATGGTTACGCAATACGTTTTCATTGTTATCATTCACACAGATTGATGTAGTTTTAATATTTTTCATATACTTATATAAATATTACTACATAATTAAAGCCTGATGAAGATCTAGCTGAAAACAATATAGTTTACTTATATGTGTTGATCTGTTTCATAGTACAACATGATCTTTATTCACTGTTATCAGTTAGAGTTGCTGCTTAACTCATAACCATACATGCATGACTTTCTGGTAGAACTAAGAGGAATTTATTTTAGAGTTTTCCATCGACAGCCTTATGTTTATCATTATTCTTTATTCAAGGCAGGTTTATGGAAAGTTAATTTCTTTCCATTATAGCTAGTATATAGTAGCTAAAATCATTTAAATATGTACAGCTATTTCCTCCTGATTTCAATGATGATCACGAGAAATAGCTAATTGGCGGTAATTAAAAATGTAGATGGAAGTATTGAAAGGTTATCAGAAGGGATTGTGTAGAGATTTTTTAGAAATTTCACTGGTTGAAATCATGAATTCATTGAAGCTAGACCACCATGGAAAACCTGGAAGCACTGGACGGCCGTTTCGTCCTAGCATGGGACTCCTCAGCAGTGCGCATCCACGATCCCGCTCCTCGCGAGATTCGAACCCAGGACCTAGCAGTCTCGCGCCAGGCGCTTAACCAACTAAACCACTGAGCCGGCACCCAACGGTGTTAATGTCTAACTTCAACCAATCCACGAAGTTGCTCCACCGTACACCATTTCAACTATTGAAAGGTTGTTTATTTAATACAAATTAGAAAGCATTTTTCTGAAAATTCCGGAACGAAAACGAAACAGTAGTTCAATCATTTTTATTTCCCACCAGTTTTTAAATTCTTTTTGATATATACATTCCTCTATGTATAAATTACTTCCAACTACAATTTAACAGAGGTAAATAAAATGGAAATAAATTAAATACCTGTGATATGCTGATAAGAAAGGATAGTTGAAGAAAACTATGGGAGGGGGAGAATAATTAGTAATACTTGTTAAAGTATTAAGACATAAGTTTAAAACCAATGTAAAACTGTGTCGTTTATTTTTAGTATATTTCTGCATCTGCTTAAAACTGCTAAAAAACATTAAAGACTATCAAATAACCTTTTAATCCTGTTCGGTAATTTTTTTATGAAGAAATAACCTTATAATTCTTGATCATTGGAATTAAGCCTGTAACTTACGGGCTTCAGAATAAACACTTAGCTCTTTTTCGCAAATCGATTTTAGTTTAAAGTTTCGTCTAGTGGAACCTGGTCCAATGGTCATGCTATCGACTTTCTTGCCATAGATCACAGTGTTCCAATGTATTTAAACAAAATTAAGATTAAACCTACTGAGTGTTTCCAATTTTAAATATTTGTTTTTTTAAAACCAATTCATGATGAAAATGGGAACAATTCAAATACGAAGCATTAAGATTTACCTTTGAAACGGGGATATGAATTCGAGTTTCTATAGGTATGAATGAAGAATAAAGTAGCCTAAGATGGAGCAGACTAACCATGTGTAGAACAGTGATTAAAGATTTATCAATACATAAAAACGCGTTACAGGAATCAAACATTATATTATGGTATTTGCTTATTTTTTATGTCTATAACTGTTTGAACTAAATTAATTTGATCCTAACAATAAAAACATTGAAAATTGTGGGACGGCAACCGGCCTTAAAAATGATGATTGACGAATTCAGCACAATGTGGAGCTTTTAAAACCATTGTAACAAGACATATGTCATTACTGTTACTACTGTCAATCATAGATGATGTCATTCATAGCCTTTCGCAACCAATATTGGAAGTTTCATACACTAGACTCATTATTGTATTTTATTGTTGCATTTGTTATTAAGTAGTATTTGTGATATGTAAATGAAGACTTTTACCTTAATTTGGTCAGCAGTAGCCAAATAAAAAATAATACAGTGGTTGTGTAGATTCATATGTGTGTAGTTTACACGCCTACTGATATGTAGTGTGCCACACAATTTGTTACTATTGGTTATAAATTAAGTCTGTCACATGACTTTTTCGTGTGTCTCGTTTTTAAATGTTCTTAATTTCACATTCTGTTATTACTTAACGTCGATTCCATATTTAAAATGGATCGTTATTGCTGTTGTGCTTGCGACTAGATCAAGATGTTTCACGAACGACTTTTCTACAAATCATTTGAATACTTTTTTTTAGTTTAACCTGGAGTTTCAAGAATACACACGTTCCTTACTCATAAAAAAGCTATTAAAATTTTTGTGCCATTATTTAGCAGATAACTATAGGGACTTTTATTATTTTTTTTTAAATTAACGAAATAGCGTGATTGGTTCCCTTCAACCACTACGACCTGAACAATATATTATGCATCATCAAGCTGGTTTGATTAAACAACAAGAAATGTTAATTTTAAATCCACAAACTGGCGATGTATTAAGTGATCAATATTCATCACATCATCAAACAAATACAATAACAACAGGTGGCACACATCACTTCGCTAGAAATATAGCATCGAATAATTCTGTGGTAGTTCCTACAGGAGGAAATGTTAGTGGTCCACCAGTTGGATCTGGAACAGTAGCAGGTCAGCAGAAAGGTTCTACTATTTACCCTAAAACTGGTCAAAATCCTATCGATGGAGGAACAAATGGAGGTGTTGGTGCTAACAGCAGTGGAAGTGCTGGTGGTGGCCCTGGCAAAAGTGGAGCTTTAGTTGGTGGTGGTTTGGATAGATCTCGACAAGTATATAATATGTTTGAATGTCAAATGTCACAACTTACGGTATTTCTGGATCGTGCACTTATATGTAGACGTATTAGACCACGTTTCAATGCATCGGACATTACAGAAGTTGTTTTTGAGCATTTATCACCAGCTATTGATAAAGATTCTATTCGGTAAGTTTAATTTTCTTGTATTGTATTTTACTGTTTATCGTCGAACTTTGTTTTAGAAAGTGTTGCTTTTCTAACTTATCACTAAAAGAAGAATAAAAATCAATGTTTTAAGTTACGTAATTATTGTAGGTTGATTAGTTATTTATCTTGCAACGCTCTGGTATCATCTGAAAAAAGTTAGTGCAGTGACAAACATTAATAGGTATCTGTTTCACCATTAGTTTAGAACTTATCCATAATGGATAATCTTAACCTCTTTTACTATTTAATATCTAATGTATGATATGTGATATTTAAGCAACTGGATTTTGAAAGTTCGGTTTATGACTATTAGAAAAAAGTGTTTCATTTATTCTGACTGAGGTTATCCTCAACATTTTCATTATTCAATAACTGTGTTGTCTTCGGGACTTTAGACCACTTTCCCCCTCATTTAATGATAAGCTGCTATACATAAGAGTATAGTTTTCATTTTTAATGTTTTATTGCTAACTATATTTATGCTTTACATACGTCATGTTACGCTGCGCTACATTGTACATAGTTATGTATACATTCAGAGGCTTGAAATGAAATTGTTAGTGTAAATTACACTTCAATTAATAACATTCACTCATTGAATAATTGAAGAAAATAACTGGAAATATCGACTAAATTAACCATCATTTATCTAGTTTGGAATTAATCTATATAAAGTCATCAAGTCATTAAGCAACATATTCTTTAAAGTTATCCCAGTGAATATATATTTTTTAAATGAAATAGATCGTTCATCTATTTCAATAATCTTTTTTTTCTTTTTTTGATCTTATTTTGTACTTATTATTAATCTTGACTTTTTTAAAAAGTCTTTCTGTCTTATAAATGTACTTTAAGTAGTAATCAGTCATAGATTAATAAGTGTTTATAGAAATAACAACTCACCTTATTTCAAATAAATTCAATTTAGTTTCATAAATCAATTTTATATTTTAAGTACAATAAAGTTCATTTAGTAAGTGGATACTCTGATAGTAACAACATTTGAATTGTGACTAACGTAAATTTATTATTATGTATATTTGAGGTTAACAATATAGAAATTAATGACATCAGTTACTAAGTATATTAGATAATTATCCTTCAGGGAAGGGAGTTAGTTATGCACTTAGTGTCAGACTTGCATTGAACTCTCTTTGGGTTAAAATAAATGGTAACTGTCATTATCACATGAATCCGAGTAGCATCTTTACTTAACTGGTTTTTTATGCAGACAAATATTAAGTGATAACTCGATTTATAGTATAAAAAATTGTTAGAAGAGATTAATGGTGGCTAGCAGTAGAATCCAGGACGGGCGTTTCATCTTATTTGGAACTCGTCTTTGGCTAGATGTACCTGCATCCTAGGATTGATGTTCACTAAAATCTCATATCAGTACAAAACAACTGTTCAGTGCTCCCTGATTTTCAATGGCACGACCTACAAGTTAAATCAATCTACATAAAACTCTGTGAGCTAAAGTTCATATTAACTGATAAATACTCATTGGTAGTAAGTCGAACAGTATGATTGTCTGAATATTTTGTTCCTGGTATTTTAATTGATGAGTTCGTTTTTAGCTAAAAAAAAAAATGTATCAATTTAACATTTTAAAATCACTCATAGTGGTTGTTGACGTTAATAATTTAACTTCTGATGTTATTCAGTTTAGCATTCTATCGGTTTACCTTAACAGTAAATGATCATTAGCAGTGTTTTTCTAAAAATCACTATTTGGAGTTGATAATAAACAGTAAACAAACCATAAAAATTTAATCGTTTTTCAACGTCACTTCACTTTGCTGTTGTTTTACTTGTATCTTCCCATTGTTATTTATGACTGCAATTGATCAGTCTCAATTGCAGTCCTAAATAACAATGGGATGATACAAGTGAATAACACCAAGTGAATTTAAACTTCACCCCATTGCACAAGCAAGTGGCTATCAGAACTCAGTAGCTAAGTGGATAATGCGGTGGCGTTTTAAGCGAACGATACTAGGTTCGAGTCTCGGAGTGAAGATCAACTCTGCGATCCAGGTGCATCCAGCTGACGAGTCCCAAATGGGACGAAACGCACGTCCTGAATTCCACTGCTAATCACTATCCATCTTTGCTTAAAAATCACTTCCCTTCATTTTTTTCTCCCTTAAAAATGATTCTTTTCCAGATTTAATTTTATTCGAATTAAACAATTTACCATATCCATTCAGTTAAATTTATAAAATGAGGTTCGAAGTTAATTAACTAATTTTCTGAAAATTAAATAATCGACATTTTAAAGACGAATTAATTTCTCTATCCCTATTATGATTATTCTTATTATTATTTTACATTTGCTTGTCTCAGGAATTACCACATCGCCAAGTTGACTAGTTCATGTTTACTCTTCATGTAGCAATTATATATTCTTCTACAGTGTTGGTGAGTTATTCTGTTCAGTTGTAATGATTTTTATCATGAAACTGGACTGCATATTTGGATGGAATCGATTGAAATCAAGTGAAATTAACTTATATATAGATGATTACTGAAAAACAATCAGTATGTAGTCTGAGCGTTTTTTTAGCAAGGTTGTTTTCTACGTGATGGGGTTGCTAACCCTATACCTGACCTTCCTCTTTTACCCGGGCTTGGAACCGGCAGTAACCCTAGAAGAGCTACAGGTGGAGTTATGTAATCTCAGACGAGAAACTAAAATAAATTATTCATTCTTTCAACAGCAACTTTATTTCAATTATTTAAGAATATATATTATGCTGATCGAATACCCCCGATCAAACTCCATTGTGTCCGATTACTTCCAACCACCTAACATCAAAAATATTGAACATAACGTAGAGTCACTTGGTCTAGTTGTCACATTAAAACTTTATGGATAAGATCTAGCCAACAGTAAAAGGTTAGATAAAAAATGATATTGGTCACTACCCAGTGATCAATCGGCCTCATGTATCTCATTTCTACACTATGTTAGTTTTTGACCAAATAGTTGTGATAATGTTTCAGGCTGTGAAATTTAGTGGTACGAAGATGTGAATCTACCAGGTAGCATCAATTCTCTCAAGAATGCAGGTACGCCTCACTGAGGAGCGCCGAATAGCACGAAACCTAAATCGAGCAGCTTTTCCTGTCGACCAGTCCCAACCATCTATTAATGTTTGATCTATTCTGGTGGTAAAAGACAGGCTTTTACTGTTTTTAATTTTTAATAAGAATAATAATGGCAATAATAATAGTCTGAGTTAATATTTGGACAAACATGTTTCTCTTCCTATAAAAATGAAGTATTCTCCATTCACTGCATGAATTAAAAGAAATAAAATTTTTGTATTTTTAAAACGTTAGTTTCCGAACGGACTTGATTTTGTGGTAACTAATCACAGTCTGGACTATATAAATCTGTACATGAAACAGTTTATCAGTCAATTGAATAAAGTATGACTTAGACTTATCACTAAAACGTTTACTTGTTTAGTGCTAAGCTCAAAAACTTTCAGTAGTGATGATAATATAAAGAAATGAAGTGTATCGTCTAAAAACATACACAAGGGGATAATATAAAGCCGTATTAAAGATCTTTAAAAATGGATAAATGACATGTTAACTGATTGTTTTCGAACACACTAGTAACGGATCATTAACATGAGTTGTCAGTTATACCTATTCCGGTTATTTTATGAATAATCAACTCCTACTAAATTATTCCCATGTTGATAGCATGATGATCAGATAAAGACATGATAATAATTCAACTTAGATTATATGCAACATATTAAATGCTATTCCCTCTGTTGTATCCAGCAGTTTCGGTTATTTTCCTATTCATTTTGTAAATGGGCATTACATATTGAAATGTAACTTGCATAAAACATTTCATTTCGAGCTATAACGTTTATTTGTGATTTTTATTCTCTATGTATCTGGATGTTACACTGGACATATCCATAACCAATAAATCTAGTTATATTAAATGAAACTTTTGATGATAACCACTCTCCAGTATGCATTAATCATTTACTAGATGAACGAAAAAAATGACTTGAAGCGCTAGGTACAATAAACTTATCTTAACACTGTAAGTGTTTGCAGATCATCCCGACACTTAGCTGTTTTTATATTTTATATTTTCTTCCTTTTTATTGGATTCATATCACTCTCTTTTATATCTTTTCATGTAACTTTATGTCAGTTGCTACACTTTAACTATTTGTATAGTCTCTAATTAGTATCATGATTGTAGTAAACGAGGAAAACCAAACAGTACCTTTGTAAAATATGAAAATCATACATTAAATACGTCATCTGCATATCGTCCTTCAGTTGTCCTTTATATACTTTATCGTTCTTCCGATCCTGTGTTTATACTGATTGCTCTCCATTTTCCTTCCCCTTTTTATTTCACTCTTCCACTAGTAAGCATTCTACTTCTAATTCCTTCTACATACTACTTATATCTGTCCTCATAAGAAGTGCACACCACATGATGTATAAAATGACAAATTCTTTGTTGTTGTTGTTATTGCCCCTGATCAACTGTTACATTTGTTTAATGTTAGAAAAATATTTAGATATATCATGTGATTTCACCTTTGTTCTTTGCTTTCATAAACTACTTCATTATATTGTATTCACGATCAGTTTAGATCGGAGGAAAGAAAAAATTACGTGTTAAGTATTTTCATGAAAATCAGTTTCAAAATCGATACATTTGTGATGTGATAAAAATAGAATTTGGCAGTTTAATGATGCCAGAATTATTTACATCACCTAGTATTTACATACATTTAGTTTACTTCAGAATACATCTATATTCTTTATATGATATTAAAAAGTACAGTTAAGAAAAAAATAACTAAAAATTTCGTCAAATATGTTCACAGTAGAATAGTTGATGAAATGACATTTGATCATTGAAGTGTTTGATCTGTTCAATAAGCTAAAAATTTACAATTTCAATTGCATAGATCATGAGTCAA